CTATTACTATTATTGTTTTTTGTTTGTTTGTTTTTCGGTACCTGGAATCCAACTCACAACCTTGCCCTTGCCAAGCAGGCACTGTGCCGCTGAGCTAAATCCCCAGCCCCTGTTACTATTATTGTTATTACTATTATCAGAAAGGTGGCTCAGAAGCTCCAGCCCGGAAAGCAGAACCACTGAGATCTTGCACGTTTCCCGTGCATGGCCGTAGGGGCTATTTCTTGGCTTTCTGCTCGGCTGCTTTCCTCCCTGGTCAACCAAATCTACAAAGCCTCCATCCATTTCCAGAGTCCAGACTGCACATTCCTGTCCGGGTCTTGCTGTCCCTACACAGGGACCCTGGTTGTCTGCCTGGTCCTGGCCCCAGTCCAGCTCCCAAAGCTGCGACCTCAGGCGGCCCAGGCAGCAGGGGCCGGAGTCACTGAGCAGAAAGACAAGAGGTTCTTAGAGGGCTTGAGGACCCACCTCGGAGCTGGGGCCCAGGAGACCCGGCTTGGAGCCCCGGTTCTGCCGAGTGAGTGAGGCCTCAGTTTCCCATATCTGCACTCTAGGTTCTTTTTTTTTTTTTTTTTTTTTGGTTTTTCTCCGGTACCGGGATGCACTCTAGGTTCTAAACCCTCCCTGAGCTCTTCACAGTACCTGCTCTTACACTCACTGAGGTGGCAGAGGAGGGAATATTCAGTGTGACTAAAGGAGGGGAGGAAGGACAGGAGGAAGGGGGAATCTCCATCCTGAGGTTTTCCATTTTTATTTTTTGGCAGTGCTGCCGATGGAATCCTGGGCCTCGCGAGTGGCAGGTGGACTCTCTGCCCCGGAGCTCCAGGGGCTGGGGGTGTAGCTGGTGCCTCTGCCTCCACTTGTGGAATGGAGACAGCAGGAAGACAGAGTCTTTGCTCTTAACGCTGTGTCCCGGGCCTGATGCGAGGCGCACACGGGTGGGCAGAACGGCGGATGAGGCGGCTGATGCTTGGGAGGCGTGGGAGCCGGGCTGTCCCCCTGCACGCACCAGCTTCCCCATGGCAGGGTCCCGGTGGGGCACCCCTGTGCCCTCAGCCTGTGGTAGGGTGCTGGTCCAGGTACTGCCCGGAAGAGGCAGCTAGGGTGGCTGGAAGGGGTCTTGGGCAGGCAGCAGGGACCCCAAGGGACTGACTCCTCGTTTTGTGAGGTGAGAAGATCTATCTCATGTTGGATCAGCAACACGCCTCACTAAGGAGAGGCTGCTGAGTGGCTGTGTGGGGCAGCCGTGGGGTGCTGAAGGTGACCACTCCCCCTATGCATGGTTCCAGAACTCGGCAAGCCGGAGAAGGGAGCCCTTCAAGCTGCTAGGAGCCGTAGGTGTTAACAGCCTGTGCCCAGGATCTGCTATGATACGGTTCATCGGGACCTGCGGTCGCTAGGCTTGGGTTTATTTATTTCTATTAGCTAGTAGAATTAGACATCAAATGATACCAGGGTAGGAGGATTTATCCTGATGACCTTTCCATGCTGGTTTTAATGTAAGTATAACTATACAAGCAGAGAATCCAGGAAAGCATGGCCAGAGAAGGAACTAAAAATTAGATTTTACATGAACGTGCCGCCTCGACCTGGAAGCAAACAAACCAACAGCAACAGCAATCACAAAGCAACCCTGAGCATAGATACACCCAAACAACTCCCTGCAGTCGGCTGTGCAGGGTGAGAACCGCAGCCTAAAACATTTTGTGTACAATGAGAAAGCTCTTGATCAAAGTATGCGTACATTGTCGAGGGGGAAAGAGATGTCATGGTCTGAGGTTCACAAACGGCAGAGCTAGAGGAGAATTTAAGAGAAGGTAGAATATAGTGATGAAGCACTCAAGCTCTTGTACCTGGGCTTTTTTGTTTTTTGTTTTTACTGGTGGATATTGAACCCAGAGCTTCCCACATGCTAGGCAAGTGATCTACCCTGAACTATAGCCCCAAGGCTTTGTATTATTTTCATTTCTGAGACAAGGTCTCAGTGAATTGCTCAGGCCGGCCTTGAACTTGCAATTGTGAGTCACTCTTCACAGTGGCTGGGATCACGGGCAGAGACAAGTACCACGCCCCGCACAAAACTAGATTTTTATTTTTTTATTTTGGTACCGGGAATCGAACTCAGGACCTTGTGCTTGCCAGGCAGACACTTGTGCCCCTGAGCTATATCTAAAACTGGATTTTTTAAAACAATTAATTTTAGTAGTATATGTTGATAGTATATAGTGATTAGTTTGTTGGGAAGTTGCTAGATGTACACAACTCATTCAAACTTGGGTTTGGACCCCTGACTTGCCGTGTGTTTGGGCAAATTAGCGATCTGAACTTTATTTTCCACATGTACAAAACAGGGGACAGAATCATCTCTGCTTCCTCAGGGTTAGTCAGGAGCTCTGTGCCAAGACCTTAGCTCAGTGCTCCATGTAAAGCGTGTGTTACCAAACGCTGGCTGTCGGTGGTACTGTTCGGCTGTCCAGTTGGTTTTACTGATGGAAATCAGACAGGGGCAGCGATGGGTGCAGAGTCACTCAATGACTCGAAGTGGGGCGGGGGACAGCACCCAGGTCTCCGACACCTGGCCCAGGAGGCTTCTCTCCCTTCCTGTAAGGCCTGGGTGGTGGAAGGAGGACCAGCCTTAGTCCCACGCTCCTCAGTCTGGGGCAGAGTCAGCCTTGCCACAGGGTCTCCCGCTCCCCAGCATACTCCTGTCTTACACACAAAAGCTTCCAAGTTTCTTCTCCAAGGAATTCTGGTTCAGGTGGCCCCTCAGGGGCCTGGGAATGGCTCCCCAAAGGCACCTCTGCCCCAGAGCTTCATGCAGCTCCATCCAGCTTCCCAACTCCTGAACCAAACGCCACCCTGGCCAAGGACTGAGAATTTTCCCTTTGGCTCATCCTCATCAGAATTACATCATGTTAGTTTGTGAAGACAAACACAAACTTCAGCTCATTTTAGTCCGCACAATACCTGGGAGCCATAGCACCCAATCCTACACAAACACCCATCTATCCAAACGGCAAAACGGGTATCCAGGAAGCCCACAAGCACCAGGATCCATCCCCCGAGAGCTCTGGGTCCAAGGCCAAGAAAAGGACTTGTGGGTAGGTTTGAGGGTCTCTCGCAGCCTGGCGCTGGGCATTATTCCAGACTGGAATTCTACGAAGAGAAAATCCTTCTTTTATCTGATGAGTAGTCTGAAGTCCATCTATTTATTGAAAAAAGAGAAGTGGCTGGTGGTCCACAGTGCCAGCCACTGTTCAGCACAACCAGAGCGTGGCAGCGAGGAAGCCGTGTGGGGCTTCTGTCGAGTGGGGGAGACAGGTGGCTTCTGATGGTGACAGTACCAGAAGGAAACGAGGCAGCGGAAGGGGATGAGCCCTGCCGGAGAGAGAGGCAGGGAGGTGCTCAAGGGGGTGGTCAAGTGGTTCCTTCTGAGGAGGTGACATTAGAACAGAGCCCTGAAGGACAACAGGAAAGTCAGAAGGCAAAGTGTCTCTGGCAGAGGTAAGGGCCAGTGCAGAGCCCTGGGGCGGGAAATCTTCGGAGTGGCTGAGGCGTTCAGAGGAAGCTGGTGCGTGGGAGCAGAGTGGGGGAGCGAGGATGGCAAGACAGGCAAGGCACAGTGTGCAGCAGCCTATCATGAGGACGTTCTCCTCCTCTCTTCTTGCGTCATTCACACCCCATCTACGCTCAAGGTCCGCCTCTTTTTCTGAAGTTTTGGTTTTTTGTGACGGGGGGGTCTTGCTATGTAGTTCAGGCTGGCCTTGAACTTGCTATGTAACCTCAAATTTGTAGCAGTCCTCCTGCCTCAGCTTCCTCAGTGCTGGGATTACAAGCGTGCTCCACCAGCCCGGCAAGGTCTACCTCTTCTAAGACACCTCCCCCAGGTGGAGCCCCGGGGAGAAGGCTTCAAGTCTGTATCTTCCTCATGCATGTGGTTGTATGCCTAAGGCCGGTCCTATCAGCAAGATTCAAAGTTCCTTGAAGACAAGAACCCAGAATTAATCCTTGTACGTCCCAAAGGGACAGGCAGGCAGAAGATAGTAGACCAAGACCTGCTGCACTGAAGAGCTCATGTTCTGTAATAATAAACCAGGCTGGGCGTGACAGCACACACTTGTAATGCCAGCTCTTTGGTGGCAGAGGAAGGAGAATCTCAAGTTCGAGACCAGCTTGGGCTCCATAGTGAGTTCAAGACTGGCCTGGATCATACAGTGAGAGCTTGTCTCAAAAACAAAACAAGGGCCAGGGAGATAGCTCAGCGGCACAGTGCCTGCCTGGCAAGTGCAAGGTCCTGGATTCAACTCCCGGTACCAAAAACAAAACAAATAAAAACAAGAATGAACCTAACTCAAATGTAGAATTGGCTTCTTTAGTATCACAGTTGGTGAGTCATCTTAGGCAAGCTACTGACCCTCGGTGAACGAAAATGGCTTAATAATCAAACTTATGTCAAGGGCTTGCTATGAAGATTAGAGTCTCCGTGAACCTCGGGCAACATTGTTGCTATGATTATCGGTCACCTTATCTGGAAGTTTAATCCCTCTGTGCCTAACTGGAGTTCGAGCAGACGTTTTAGGACCCTCTCCCACATGGCCGAGGACGATGTCACTAGCGGCAGCTGGTTTTGTCTGTGCAAAGTCCCAGGGTTGCGTCTGTCACACACACACCCTGCATCGCTGCAGCCGGCTCAGCATTGCCCAGTGTTAGGGAGGGCTCTGTGAAGGGTTCCTGGGGAGCCCTGGGGGAACCCGTGCCTGCTCCAGGGCCCTTGAACGAGGAGAAGGCCTGCTGGTGATTCCTGTGGGCCTTCCAGCCCTGGTGAGTCTGCTCAGGCAGCAGGCCAGGCAGGCGGCCTTGGGGTGTCTGGTCAGGACAGCCCACCGCAGGGAGAGGAAGAAAGAAGAGACAGAGATAGCCTTGGCTCTGAGGAGAGGAGGAGGCAGGCCAGGGGAAGGAGGAGACAGGGGAGGAGGAGGAGGAGGGACTGCGGCCGAGGGGGAGACAGACCCAGCCCAGAGCTCTGAGTGGCTTCCTGCTGCCTGTGTCTAAGCCCCTCCACATTCCTGCGCACCGCCAGACCGCCCGGACGCGCTCTGCCGCTGCCTGCCTCTGAGGTAGGTGCCACGGCCGCCTGGCCGGTCCCTTCCGGAGCTGCCTCAGCCCCGACAGCTGACCTCGTCTCCGGAGAGGCAGGGGAGCTCTGCTGGGGATGCTCACCTCCATCCGCTCGGGTTCCCTGGCTTAAATTACGGATGCGGTCCCTGACCGGTCCGCCTGTCTGTCGCCTGTTGCTTTTTAGGAGGCGGACTCACAGTGGAACCCCTTTTAGGTCTGCAGGAAATAATCTCACTGTGTCTTTGGGGAATCTCTCTCTCTCTCTCCCCCCCATCTCCTCTTTGCCCCCTATGGGACTGTGGCAGTCTCCTCCTTTCCTGGGAAGCTGATCCTGTCACAGTTGCAGCAGGGACTGGCCCCTGGCTGGCAGCCAGAGGCGTCGTGTGCCCTGTTCCGGGAGGACAGACCTTCCAGACTTGGTTCTGAGTCAGGGGCACTGTTTTCTAAAAAGAGACTTTGCATAAATGATGAGCTCTGAAAGGCAAAGGTGAGGCTTTCCCCTCATCCCCCTCATGCCTTCCTGCTTCTCCACCCTGGCGCCGGGCAGCCTGAAGTGGCACTAGGCTCCCGGGCTTGGGTAGTGCACCCCCCGCCTCCCCAGTCATCCCAGGAACCCGCCAGCCTTTACCGAGTCTGGGTCTGAGCAACCCCCACACCAGACTCTTCTGACCGAGCACAGGCTGGGCGTGGGGTGCACTGGAAGCGGGTGGGGAAGGTAAGACAGAGCTCGGGCCCTTCCACACCCGGTTTTGAGACATGCAGACTCCGCACAGGGTTAGGTCCAGCCCGTCTGGGGTTAGGTTGGGGTTCACCCTCTCCATGCACCCCCTTCCCTGGCCCTTCTCACCCTGCTAGTTGTGGACTGGACTTCTGTGTCCTGAAGGACACTCAGGGAAAGGGGTGTTGGGGTGAGTCTCCCCAAAAGGGACCAGGGAACCGAGGGGCGTGCATTTTCTTCCGGAAGGGCACTTCTTTGCCTCGGAGGCAACACTTTGAGCAGTAATTCTCCAGGGTTACATTCCTGCACCCCTCAGCGCTGGTGCTACAGCGCGGAGCAGGCCTTAGGTGGGAGGGCAGGCTGTCTGAGGAGCGATCTTAGCTGAGCGGCTCCCTGGATTGGGGTTCCCCATCTGTAAAGTAAGAGGATTGGCCTTGGGGTACCTGGGGTCCTCTCAGGCTGTTTCAAGGAAGGTCTCTTAACTAAGTCCACAAACAGCCTTTCAGTGGGCTTTAAGGTGTCTACAGGTTCCTTCAAACGGTGTGCATAGTGAAGGGAGAGACAGGCAGGAGAGGTGTTCGCTGCTTTCAGGCTTAAGATAGTTCCAGAGGGATCCCTCTCCCCCAGAACGACCAGAGGGCACGCTGCGGGGGTCAGAGCGGGGGAAGGGAGACAAATCTGTATCTGCAGGATGAAAAATGTCAGATGGGAGTGGCTGGGGAGAGAGGTAACCAGCGGCCGTCAGCTGCCACATCGACAAAGCCCAGCGCGGGGGAGGGGGTGAAGGAGGCCTCGGAGAAGGGATCAGCTTCGAAAGTTTCTCCAAGTCCCGCCCACTAGGGCTCTTCCCAGCCGTGACTCACTGTGCCAGGAATGCGCGTTGCCACGGTAACCTCTTTCTCAGGGTCCCTGCCTGCTGACAGGGAGGGGACACGGAGAACAGTGAGAAAGTCAGGCACAACCTGAAGGTCCCCCATGCGTCCTCAAATACAACCACAGGGACGCATTCTAGGCCCTGTCTTTCTGATCCCCGAACTCCCCAAGGAAGCCCAGGACTGTGATCAGCTCCCCAAAGTGGGAGTTGGAAGATGTCAGCTTTTGTTCTGATTGCGAGGAATGTGCCGTCTGACCTTGAACTAATCGCTCTCCTTTCTGAGCTCCAGTTTTGAGGTCTGCTGAAGAGCAGACAAGGTGGCCCCTCAAGACAGGGAATGGAAGGCCTCGGATGATGTACTGCAAACAGCTTTATAAACCCTAGTGCCTCTTTCTGAGGTGATGGGTTTTAGAACTAATAGATTTACCGTGTCCAAAGACCTGGTGAAATCATTTTTTTTTTCCCCTCTGCTAGCTACATCATTGTGCATGTGCGTGTGCGTGTGTGTATGTGTGTGTGTGTTGTATGAAACTTCCCATTATTAAAAGCATGGACAAGCATGTTTCTTAAACATTGTATCATTTGAGTTCTTTTTTTTTTTTGAGACAGGGTCTCACTATGTAGTTCAGGCTGGCCTCGAACTCACTATGTAGCCCAGGCTGGCCCTGAACTCAAGGCGATCCTCCGTCCTCAGCCTCTGGAGTGCTGGGATGACAGGCAGGCATCACCAGGCCTGGGTTAAATTCATTTTGATTTGGGGAGTTCCTTGTGTATTTTTCCCCTTAGAACTTCGGCTGCAGGTATGAAAGGAGCGGGTTTGAACTCAGGTGGGTGACCTGGGGAGAGACGCTACCCTTCTCTGGGCTGTTTCCCATCTGTTAAATGCAAGATCTAAGCTCGTGGTCTCCAGAGACCCTTCCAGCCCCACGGGCCTGTGACCCTACACCCTGGCAGCGGCTTTCCTTGGAAGGACTGGCCTCTACCTCTTGTCAGCAACCATTTTCTCCTGTCAGTGGCAAAAAGGAAACAAGCCAGGAGGGGCCTGGCTCGTTCACCACGCCACAATCTATATTCAGACGCCTCAGCCTGCAGCAGAGCTGCGGCTTGCTCTTCACCGCAGCAACTTTCTTCCAAAAGCAAGTTATAAATAGGAAAGACGACGGAGGGCAGGAGAGCATTTGGCTCTGCGGTCCGTTGGGTGGATCTGTGAGGATGCAGGGACACACGGGGGCAGCCACAAGCCCAGGGACGCAGGGGAGAAGCCTCGATGTCCCCATGCGGGAGCCACCGGCTGAGCTAAAAATAAAGGCGTCCAAACGCGAGCAGACACCAATCGCACCCTGTCCCCAGACGCACAGACACATTCTCCACGCACATCTTCGCGTGGATGAAAACTTTAACCCTCGTTTCTCACAGGCCCACGCGGACAGACGCTGAGTCAGGGTGCAGGGACCATACACAGGCACCATCGCGTGTGCAAACACACGCACGGAGTACCGATCACAACACAGACACAGCCGTGTAACATGCACAGACCACCCGATACCCTTGTATTTCACACAGAGAAACGGAAACTCAGGAAGGGAAAAGGACTCACTGGAAGTCACCCAGCAAGCTGGGGACTGAGCCACGCCGTCCAGATGTGTGTCTACCCCCCCCCCCCCGCCTTGGCTGGAGAAGGCTCACACACCGTGGTCCAGGGGCACAGGCCCTGTGGATAAGTAAGCAGCAGCTCATCCGCTCCCCTTTGCAGGCCTCAGGGTCTGTCCCAGCCCACAGGCGTGTGATGAGCCCCCAACGCCCAGCAAACGTGGCTGATAAGTGGCTGCTCGTTTGGCCACTGGCCTCCTCCCTGACACCCGTCTCACAAGGAGAGAAGGGAAGGCGTGCCCTGAGCTCCCGGCCAACCCTGGGCATTAACGAAGCTACCTCTTCCTCCAACACTGAACCGGGGTCCTTCCCTCCCTCCCACCCTCACCTGGGAAGCCAGGACCAGCAAGTAGTGACCTGACGGAATCATTTAGGAAAACAGCCTCCTCCTTCGACTGGGGATGTCCTCCTCGGCACAGCAGCTCTGCCCTCACCAGTCAAGCCACAGACCTCGATGTCGCTGAGAAAACAGGAATAGGAGAGACAGCAGCTCTCTCCAGAGCTGGGTCTGTTCAGAAACTTGGTATTAATATTCACCCCTCTTACTTAGAAATCTATCCGGGCCACTGTGTGTCAGGTATAGCGTTAGGATCTAGACTTATCAGAAGACAAAAAGAAAGCAAGGCCAACACTTAGAGACCTCTGGACATCTGGAAGCTTGGTTCAGACACCAGCCTGTTGTATGACCTGGAGTGAGCTGTTTTCCCTCCTGAGCCTCAAGTTAATTATCTCCAAAATAACAGACATGGCAAAGATCTTTCCTGTAGCCTGGCAGTGCCAATTCATTGGGAGTAGGCAGAGGAGCTGTGTGGGGGATTCTGATGCCAGTCCAGACTTTGGGGGTGAAGGTCATGTGACAGACCGCTGTCCGCCACATGCCCAACACAGGGAAGCGGCATATGTGCCTCGTGCTTGTCGTCTTTGGGATCTCTTAGGGGTTGTCCCAAGGGACAGCCTGGACTCTGTTATTTCTTTTCCTCCATTTGTGGTCACCCTAGGGGGCGCCAAGGAGGACGCCCGCAGCTCCACCCAGCACTGAGTTAGCCAGAGCCACAGTGAAACGTGGCATTTTAGGCGAATTTATGGCATCTCAGCGGGGCTGATTCCAGCCTCAAACTCAGGAGCTGCCTCGGAGTTGGCCCCAGAACCTCGCCCATCCTAGGCTTTCGTGTCCATGTAGCCTGCCTTAGTGCCCTCCCTCCCAACAGAAATACAGTATTAGAAGAGAAACCAGGGAGTCAAGGCAGCTTCTGCCTGAGTTGACTCAGTAAGTCTGAGTTAGTCTGCAATCCCAGCACACAGAAGAAGGCTGAGGCAGGAGGATCGTGCGTTCAAGAACAGCCGAGGCGACATAGTGAGTTGCCCTTAGGGACCTTAGGGACTACCTTCCAACTGCGCCTAGGAGAAGCTCAAGGGTCCCTCAGGCTCCAAGTGCGTAGACCCCCAGAGCCCCAACTCCACTCCTGTGCTACCTTTTTTTTTTTTTTTTTTTTGGTGTGTTTGTTTGTTTTGACACAGGGCCTCACTATGCAGTTCAGACTGGCCTTGGACTCACTGTGCAGCCCAGGCTGGCCTTGAACTCGCAGTGATCCTCCTACCTCAGCTTCCTAAGTGTTGGGATCACCGGCATGCGCCACCTGTCCCCCCAGTTTTACCTACTTTTGCTTTTTAATTTCAAGCTTATTCACTGAGCCATTACATTCCCATGTTTAAACAAATGCAGATTGCTGCTGTCTGAAATAGTGGGCTTCGTATAGGACTTCACGGAGAGAGAGGATCCTCTGCTTCACATGACTGAAGGATGAAGCAGGCTCCCCATTGTAAGGCCGCCCAGGAGCTGAGGTCCAGAGAGCAGGAGTTCACACAGTGCCTGGGAGCAGTCTTGACTGGCTCCCAGGACAGGGGCTCAGGACTTCACAGCACGAGGCCACTTCCAAGGGTCTGCGTCTGATCCTGGAGCACGAGCAGGAATTTCATTGTCGTCACCTGAGCCCCACTGGCCAGACCTGACCTCCGTGAAACCCCCTGCCCCCTCCCTTTGCTCTCCCTGGCTCCTGCCCGGCCTGGCACATGGCCTCCTGCAGGCTTGTTTTCCTCCCTTTGGGACTGTTTACCACAGTGTGTGATTTTTGGAACCTTGTTTCTAAGCCAAACAGTGGGAGGGAGATGCTTGACTTGCGTCAGCGCCTTACTGAGGGGCCAGCCTCGGGCCTGGCTGTCATCACCGCACCCTGGGGAGGCCGGCTGGCTGGCAGGACTGGCATGCAGGGCCAACAGGGGCAATATCACCTTTGTTCCACCCCAACACCCCCACCCCCTGGGCCACAGGGGAAAAGCTGAGATTTTTATACTGGATTCTTTTTTTTTTTTTGTACCAGGAATCAAACTCGAGGCCTTGCGCTTGCCAGACAGGTGCTGTGCCACTGAGCTGTATCCCTGGCCCCGCACTGGATTCTTAAAGGGGTTGGGCGCTCTGTGATACTTGGGTTCTAAGATGTTCTTCTTTTTTTTTTTTGGTCTTTTTGAGACAGGGTCTCACTATGCAGTTCAGGCTGGCCTCAAGCTCACTTTGTAACCCAGGCTGGTCTCAAACTCGCCTTGATCCTCCTGCCTCAGCCTCCCAAGTGCTGGGATTACAGGCGTGCGCCACCACGCCCGGCTAAAATGTTCTTTTAAACAGTATTGCTTACCTCTTCACTTGTATTCTCTCCTGTCAATCACCCATGAGCCTTTCGAGGTGGGTATGTTGTTCTTTCCATTTTACAGATGGAGGAGCCGATTGAGGCCCACAGAGGCAAAGCTGATTTCTGAAGGTCACACAAAGTGGCAGAGACAGGATTTGAACCCATATGTTCTGGCTCCTGGGTGCATGAGCTTCCCTCTGTGCTATGCTGTCTTTATAACCATGTAGGGCTATTTGGGTTTCAATGAATTAAAATGAAATGGTTAGAAATGCCATGGTTGTGGCAACATGTCCAGGGTTCAGTACCCACGTGTAGCCAGTAGCCGCCATACTGGACAAAGTAGACGTAGAATATTTTCCTCATCGCTGAAAGTTCCTTCGGACTGCATTGCTCCCTAAACGCTTTCCACTCAGATTAGATTCAACGGTTGCAGCTCAGATTCTGCACTTCACTTCTGAGGGTCTACAATGCTGAGTCACACGGTCTCGAATTCTGTGATTCTGAGGACCCCCCAGCCCCACCCCGTTCTGACATTTAGCCACTTTTCAGTGTCCAGGGAAAGCCCAAAGGAGGCCCTTTGTGCTGTGAGGACCTGGCTGTACTTTTCCACCCCGAGTCCTTCCAAAGGGTGAGAAGTGACCTCGGCCTCGGGTCCCGCTGGCAGCCAAGGACGGGTTTTCAGCCGCCTCCAAGCAAATAGAGGCCAAAGGAAAGCACTGGGTGTACGGAAGGGAGGCGGTTGGGGGTGCAGGCGTCTGTCTGCAGTGACCACTGAGCCAAAGGAAACACCCCCACCCGGGCATTTCCCTCCAGCACCTGGGACCAGTTCAGGCCAGCTGGGCTCCATTCAGGTGACCGCCTGGGAGGGCGGCGCAGATGCCAAGGGAAACCGGCACGCTGAGGTGGAGAACAGGCCGGAGATGGAGGGCGGCCACCCGGGTCCTCGCCCCAGCGCCGCCGTTCTCACACGGGGGTGCTGGCTGTCAGTCAGCGCGTTCCTTCCTCTCTAGGCTCCGCCTTCTCGTCTGTGCCGCCGGACCTCAGCAGGGCGCTGAATTTTGAAACCACTCTGGGAAGGACAAATGTATGCACTGCCATACAATGCGAGGCGCCAAGGAGGGAGTCTTCATTTGACGCTGGTGTACACGGAGGGGGCTGAGAGGGTCCCTGGACACGCGGGGTCTAGGTGTGGCGGCAGAAGACCACAGCAGGCCAGTCCAAGTGCTGGCTTTTGACCCTGGGCCCTGACTCGTCGGTGTACCCGGCGGCTGTGCAGGGCGGTCCCAGCCTCTTCAGCCAGTGGTGTTTGTAGAACATCAGAGAGGTATCTCTGGCTGCGCAGGAGTATAGGAGCACAGCCGGGGCTGTCCAGGGCGGCCCAGCGCCTTCCTTCCCGCTCCCCCAGCGTCTGAGGGGAAGGGCTCTGAATCCGTGAGGTCGCTCTGCGCACTGGTGGAAGCTAAACTATGGAAAGCAGCTCCTCCCCGAGGACACTGCGTTCTGTTCCCGAGTCTCTGGCTGCCTCTGTCCCTCTCCCACCCACACTTCTCAGCATGGTCCCTGCTTGGCTCATGACAGCCCTGTGAGGGGGAGGCTGGGGGAGTGCTGGGTGCCTCATGGCTGAGGCCAAGGGCCTCGCCTCAGCCTCACACTCATAGGAAGGTGGGACTCGGACCCCTGTAATCCTGCCCGCCTCCCCATGCTGGTACGAGGGTCCGAGGGGACGGTATGCACTTGAGAGTCTTTAGAAACTGCCAAACACTGCAATTTAGAACCAGAGGTGGGGTGGCGGAGAGTGCTGCACAGCAGGAGGACAGGACAGCCAGAGCGGCCGGCTAAGCCTTTCCTGGCCATGGAGCGCAGTGGCGTCCCCTGCTCAGCTGAGGGACGCGGACTCGGGAATGTTGGTCTGTCTGGCTCCATAGCCGGAAGCTCATTCCAGTTCCAGTTCTACCTAGGCTCTTCCTCCACTGACACGACGTCTCTGTCACTGTATCCTAGACTGGGGGACTTTCCGCCGCTACCTGCCAGTTTCTCTTAGATGGTTCACCTTCAAACAGCCTCGGACAAGCCCTTCATTGATGGATCCTCTTGGGTTCCGCTGGTTCAAAGCCATATGCAGGTGTTGTTTTGCGTGTGTCTTCTAAACGGGGAAGCAGGAGGGAGATTTTTCCACCTGAGCCTGGAGACAAGAGGACCACTGTGTGAGGAGGAGAACATCCCAGAGACTGCCTGGGCTCCTCTGGGACTTGAGGCCATCGTGAAGCAAGGCCAGGCTCCCACCTCAGTTCCTTTAAATTCCTGTTGGTTTTAGTTCATTCATGCCCCATGGAGTAGGGGCTGAGGTCTTGTGTTTCTGCTAACCCAGTTAAGCACCATTATTGCAGCCTGCTCCTGCGGCCCAAATCCAAAGGGGGGGACACCAGAAGAAAGGACATGTGCCAACATCAGCATGTCCCTGTGACATTTTTGGTTTTGGGTGCTAGGAATTGAAGCTAGGGTCCTGAGCATGCTAAGCACGTGGTCTGCTACTGTGCCACACCCCAGCCTTGCCTACAATATTGTGAGAGCATTTTAAGGACCCAGTCAGCCACCCCTAATGTCACCAAGTCTGACCTCTCAATTGACAGACGTGGGAACCAGTGTATATATAGTTCTTATTCGCCTAAGCAGTAATGAGGTAAACAAGAGCCCCTGGCATTGAATCCCAGCCCAGTGCTGTATTCCTTGATGCCAGGGTCCCTTCTCTGCTGTGCTTGACCACTTGAGAAGTCTTGGAAGGAACAAGGGATGATGAGCCTGGTGCGGAAGTTTGGGGGATAGAAGAGACAAGCCGTGGTGCCTGCTGTCCTTGATAAAAAGCAGGGCAGAGGAGCAGGCTTGTTCAGGTGGCTGAAGAAAGGGCGACAGGACAGACCAGGAGTTTGAGAAGCGTGTTTGGATCCATCTAAGGAAGAACTTTCTAAAGCCACTTGGATGCAAGCAGAAGTCCAGTTAACATAGGAAGTCAGATGCGCCCACCACAGGCCCTCCAGTAGCGACAGCATTTTAGTATTGAGTCAGCAGAGGAGATTCTCTCCCAAGATCCCTTACGGTCATGAGTACTAGAGTCTAGAGTTTGATATCTAAGGTCTTAGCAGTGACCAGGACAGGTGGGGGAGCTTTCTAGATTTCAGCGAATCACAGACGATTTACTTCTGCCTGTGCAGAGGGGGTGAGCAGAAAGGGAGGGGAGGAAGAGAAGGAGGAATGTTAGGGAGTAAGGAAAAGTCATCTCTGAACCTGAGGGATTGAAGGGCCCTTAATTAAGAATTGCCCAATTTGATTAATTAGCCCATTGCTTTCGTTGAATCATTTTTTAAAAACCTAAATATATGTATTTAGAGAGAAGACTTAAGCCAGGACTGGTGGCACATTGTCTTACTTAGGGAGGCTGGGGCAGGAGGATTGCAAGTTTGAGCCCAATCTGGGCAATTTAGCGACTTTTTTTTTCTTGTACCGGGAATTGAACTCACGACCTCATGCTTACTAGGCAGGCATTGTGCCACTGAGCTGTAGCCCCAGCCCCAATTTACCGACTTCATGAAACCCTGCCTCAAAATTTCAAAAGGGGTCAGGGGCTGCGGGGGTAGTTCAGTGAGAATCTTAGGTTCAGTCCCCACTAAAAAAAAAAAAAAAAAATTCCAAAAAATGACAACAAAAAAGGACTTTTATATTGTTGCCATAAATGGAAAACTCTGTGTACCTTGTCATAAATAGAAGGAAACTGTGAAAAATAAACACAAGGAAAACAAAAGGTCTTCATTCAGTTGCAGCTGGACAAGGTTTCCTGCAGCCGCGCTGAGCCAGACGGCTGCACTCTCCGTTAGGAAGGAGGACAGATGAGTGTCTGAGGTTTAAACTCGTCCTAGCACTGGACGGAGACTTTCTCCTTATATGGTCAGGGCTGAATGAATACTGAATAGGAACGACCTCCTGCCCTCTTTCCCCGTGGTTGAATAAGTGCCATCGAAAATCACCTTGTAAGGCCAGGCGTGGTGGCGCAGGCCTATAATCCCAGCACTTGGGAGGCTGAGGCAGGAGGATCATTGTGAGTTTGAGACCAGCCTGGGCTACAAAGTGAGCTCAAGGCCAGCCTGAACTACATAGTGAGATCCTGTCCAAAAAGACAAAAAAAAAAAAAAAAAAAAAAAAAAGAAGAAGAAGAAGAAAATCACCTTGTAAGGCTCAGGGGCTCAGCGGGAACTGTACAAGGAAGCCTCCCTCACCGTCTCAATCTCCTCCCCGCAGGATTCCCAGCACCATGAGGGCCTGGATCTTCTTCCTTCTCTGCCTGGCTGGGAGGGCCTTGGCGGTCCCCGTAAGTACCTGAGGGTCCGTCTTCTTGGTCTTATCTTCTTGTTAGCTCCAGGGCTTCTGAACCTGCTGGCTCTGAGTCCTGAGAGGCACAGGGACTTCCCCGTCTCAAATTAGTTATCATTTTAAAAACAATTAATCAGTTTTCTTAAGCCAATAAAAAGCACGAGAAAGTGCAGTAAGGTCCACTGGGTAGAAGTTCCAGAGAAAATGTAAAGATGAACTTGGTAGCAGTCGGACCTTCCAGCGGGGGACTAGGCAGTGGCCTCTTTGTGTCAGGAGGAAATCAAGCAGCCGGGGATGGGGGTGCTGGTGGGAAAGGCCTTAGCAGAGAAGCGAGTCCCACAGAGAGGAGGTTTAGACTCAGAATCAGTGACATGGTTTCATTTGCAAGCAACAGACCCCACCCTGACTACTTGGGCGGCAGAGCAGAGATGGAGGCGTAGGTTTTGACGGCAAAGGCCTTGGGGAAAACTGGAGAAAGGCCGCTCCAGCTCAGAGACGCTGTCATCTAAGTGAATCAGCTCCAGCAGTTTTCATATTTGAGGGAATTTGGAAGAAGATTTAAAAAAAATTAAGGACAGCTAGACTGGCTGAGCGCAGATCCTTGGCTGGGGAGGATGGGACAGATACCCCAACTGGCAGACAGACTAAGGAGAGTCACTCCCAGCGGGCAGCTTCCAGCGGGACAGGAGGGGCTAGCTAAGGCCAGTCTGGAGCCGTCCCCAGGTGCAGAAGAGGGTTTCTCTCAACCTGGGATTCCCTCCTCCTCTCTCCACTAGGAGGTGGATGGCAGACTCAGGCTGTCTTCCTCAGACTGGCAGATTTTGTTTTTGTTTTTGATTTTCTTCTGGTACCAGGAATCGAACTCAGGACCTTGCGCTTGCCAGGCAGGTGCTTTGCTGCTGAGCTAAATCTCCAGCCCCAGACTGGCAGATTTTGACCAAAGATTTGGCAAGGTTGGCATTACTTCTAGAGGCAGCCCCAGCCAACCAGGGACCTCAAAGTTCTATGCTATCTCACCTCTTCTTACTCTAAGCTGAAACGGCAGGAAGGAATTGCCTAAGAGTGATGATAATCATATCACACAGTAGGGAGGATTCGACATCGGTGAAAATTCACACCGTCTGCCCCCTCTGGCTGTCAGGTTCCCTATCTGTACCACCAGGTCAGTTGATCTGAAGCAGCAGTTTTCAGACTTTGTAGGCGTTCAAAGCAGCAGGAATGCTTTGCAAGCTAACCCTCAGATAGACCGCAGGTGCAGGCATCGATTATGACATCAAAGACCTCAGAGAGAACTAGAAAAGCGTAGCTCCAGGGGTCTCTCCGTTGAAATGGCAGAAAGGAATTGCCTGATAGTAATGATAATAATATCACAGGAGGGAGGCAACAGCTGGTGGACAGTCTCTAAGACGCTGCTCTCTGAATGGATCTGTGTAACGGTTTTCACACCTTGAGAGTGCACGCCTATGTAAAATACAGAATACATATCAACTATATAAAAGGGGAGCCGCTCCGGGTTCCGGGGCTTCTCCTTGGCCAGTCTCGCAGCGCGGGGTCCCAGCTCAGGGCCATTTCAGAGGAGAAGCTGGCCTGGCCCTGAGCTCTCTGCGCCCCGCTCTCTCTTGCCAGCAGCAGCAGGAAGCCCTGCCCGATGAAACAGAGGTGGTGGAGGAAACCGTGGCCGAGGTGGCAGAGGTACGTGGTGTGGGCAGTGGAGCCCCAGCCCCAGCCGCTCTCTGCCCGTCCCTCCCCTGGGCAGTCCAGACTGGTCTCCAGGGTCTCCGTGCTCGGGGGGTGTGTGCCACTCAGCACCGTGTCCGTCCTGGGTGCCCCGCATCGCAACACACTGCTGAATGTGTGTCAGGCCTCCCACAGGAGCCTGCAGTTTTCAAACACATTGGCTTTCATTTCTTCTTTCAAGATCACCCCAGTCTGTCCTTGTATAAAACAGATGAAAGGGGAGCTGCTCAGGTTGCTCAGCAGGGGTAGAGGGCTTCGAATCTTATTTTATTTTTTATCTTTGCAGTACTAGGGATTGAGCCCAGGCAGGGCCTTTGCACTGAGCTGCCCTTTTCAAATGTGTTCTTATTTTGAAATAGGGTCTTGCTAAGTTGCCTGGACTGGGCTCCAACCTGCAGTTCTCCTGCCTCAACTCCTCAGCGTGCTGTAATTACAGGCGCGTACTGTGCCTGGCTTTGGCGTCCCTTCTTGCTGTAACCTTTGGTGGCCTCCAAGGCATCTCCACAGAGTTCTAGGACACTATGAAACACATAATATAAGATTAGTGCTAATTTTTTTTTTTTGTCTTTTTGAGACGGGGTCTCACTATGCAGTTCAGGCTGGCCTTGAACTCACTGTCTGGACTCGCAGCAGACTTCTTGCCTCAGCCTCTGAGTGCTGGGATTACAGGCTTGTGCCACCATAAATTAATTTATGGCCTAATTGTTTTCTTTTCTTTTTTTTTTTTACTGGCCATTGAACTCACAACCTTGTACTTGTCAGGCAGGCGCTGTTCCACTGACCTACATCCCAGGCCCTAGTACTAAATTAACTTAATAGATTGATAAAGTAATCCTAACTATAAATTCTCGACGTTGGCTTTTGCGCTATGACCCTGCCCTCAGCTACATTTCCGTGTTGTCCCTCACTGTTCCTTGGGAGTTCCTGAACTTTCAGGAAAACCCCCTCTACTTGGGTCTCCTCTGTGGGTCTGGGAAGGGGTGGAGAGCATTCGACTCATTCTTTTTCTTCTATTTCAGGTGCCCGTGGGGGCCAACCCTGTCCAGGTAGAAGTTGGAGAATTTGAAGATGGTGCTGAGGAAACCGTAGAAGATGTGGCAGCTGAAAGTAGGTCCCTCCCCTGTGACCTGGCGCCTCCAGTCCGCTCCTGGCTGCTGGACGTGGGGCCTGACAGAGGCCTATGTGAGGCTCCTGCCTGAGGAAGTGCAGGGTGGGGTCCTCAGCAGCTGTGGGGAGAGACTGCTTTGGCTGGGGGTTGGGAACGCTCTCTAGCATGCAGTGCCCCGGAATCTGGAAAGATCTATTTATAGCCAGTGCATCCATGCTAGGAAGGCCTGGGAAGGAAGTTCTCCAGCTGGCCATGTCCTTCTCCCCCCGCGGTTCTTTGCCCTGATTCCACAGTTGGGTTTCACATTCCCACTGGGGCCACTGGTCACGTCTGGTCAGTGAGCTTTCCCATGGCCTCCGTCACAGTGTCCCGTAGAAGCATTTCTGAGGATAGAGGTCAGGAGCTTTCACACTCACTGGCTTATCTGATCAGTGCTCAGCCAAGGAAACAAGGCTGTGGGGAAATCAAACCTGACATAATTCATAATGCTACCCGCGGAGCTGGTGCCAGAGGTGGGGATGACCCAGGGGCTCAGGCTTGAACAGCTGGCCTGAGGCATCCGTACCCGAGGATTTGAGATCACGGACTTTGCAAGTGAGCCAACCAAGCTCTGAACCCAGGCTCCTCCGGGACAGCATGCGCAGCTCCTTTGTGCGCCAGTCTCCCCGGTTCTAGCGGGAGACAGTGAGAGGGAGATGCTCGCCTCGGGCCTCGCGGGAGGGTTAGGAGACAAAGCCCTCGAGGGCTTGGCCCAGTGCCTGCAGAGCGGGTGGCCAGTAAAGGACAGTTCAAATGCCCAGAGTTAGGCCTCAGGAGGAAATGGCTAGATCAAGCCCTGGTCCTGAGGGGTCTGGACCCCTCGTGGGTGGGGGCGGAGGGGAGGTCTCATGCGTGTCTGGACTGAACTTGGCACAAGGGTTTTTTGTTGGAGGACAGTCAAATTCCTCTCCTGCTCCATGCCCACTTCATCCGGTGTTTACCAGGCACGGCTGGAACCTATTGTCCAGTGTGGGCCCCCGGCTCCTCTGCCCTTTCCCTTAGGGACACTTAAGTCTGTTTTGTTGGACTTGGGGCTCCTTGCAGCCATGACAACAGCCAACTTTCTTTTTTGTGTGTTTTTTTTTTTTTTCTGGTACCGGGAATCGAACTCATGACCTTATGCTTGCCAACCAGGTGCTGTGCTGCTGAGCTAAATCCTCAGCCCTGACAGCCAACTTTCTAAGCCCTCAGGTCCTGAGTTCTGTTCCCGGTACCAAAAGCAAAGCAACGAAATCCTCTAAGCCATTCTAGAAAGTCTGTCTGGAATCCAGAACACCTCCCTAAATGACCCAGCTGAGAGCGGGAGCTCAGTCACTGGGGCAGCCATCTGGATTGTATCTGATGTTTCTGGGTCGCAGATTGAGCATCTCGCTCTGCAAAAGTGCCTGGCCCTGACCTTGGATTAAACTCTCATCTCTACGCTGAGCCCACTGCTCCCCTAAATGCTGAGTGCTAGGCTGGGTGGGGGAGCAGGGAGGATGCCCACACCCCAGAGTGGGGCAACAGCCAAGGACCATCTCCACAGAGCTGTGTGGACCAGCTCGGGTGGATGTGCTAGCACGGGCGTCCCAACCCTGGGCTCTGTGTCCCAACAGACCCCTGCCAGAACCACCACTGCAAACACGGCAAGGTGTGCGAGCTGGATGAGAACAACAGCCCCATGTGCGTGTGCCAGGACCCCACCACCTGCCCTGCCCCCGTCGGCGAGTTCGAGAAGGTAAGGGCGAAGGCGGGGGTGGCGAACCTATGCCGTGCGTCTGCGGCACGCACGCAGAGCCCTCTGTTGGCACTTGAGCCAAGTGTATGCGTTGTTTTTTTGTAAACCTCCGCATTCAGGTTTAATTGCAGTGCTGGCGCTCTGCGATAAATCAGTGGGTTTGGGGTTGCAGTTTGGACACTCAGTCTCTGAAAGCTTCGCCATCACGGGCTGAGGGACGGGGTCCTTAGGAATACAGTGTGTCCGCCCAGAAGACTGTGGGTTTGGTGGCTCTAGAGGGCACCTCCGGGCTCAGATGCCCCCTTGCCAGATCCAGGCACAGCAGAAAGGTGGAGCTGAGTCGGGTGAGGCTCTGCCCGACTCTGCGTGTCTCCAGCAACCAATGAAAATGTAATTGGCACCGTCAGGCTCCAGGCTCTGCACTGGACTCGGACTCCTGGGTCCCTGGAATCCCAAGGTGTACGCCACACTCTGCATGTTCTCATCGGAGACCCTGTTCTCTGTAGCTTAGCAGGGTATCGCGCCCAACAAGGTGGCTTCTGGGGTCAGATTAAAGGTTCCCTTCAAATCTCCTCTCCATCACTTGTGAGCGGTTGCTGAGTCTTTTCAAGCCTTAGTTTTCTCATGTCTAAGGAGGGGATAAAAATTGTCCTTAGCTGCTAAGGCTGTTGTAGGGATTTGTCAAATATTGCCTGCTACCTAATAAGTACCAATAAGTGCTACTTGGGGTTTTTTTTGGCAGGGTGGGGGTACCGGGAATTGAACTCAGGACCTTGCCTTTGTCAGGCATGTGCTTGTGCTGCTGAGCTATATCCCCAGCCCTATTTTGGCTTTTTGAGACAGGGTCTCAGTACACAGTTCAGGCTGGCCTTGAGCTCACTTTGTAGCCCAGGCTGGTCTCGAACTTGCAATGATCCTCCTGTCTCAGCCTCCCGAGTGCTGGGATTACAGGTGTGCATCACCATGCCTGGCTGCATCATTTACTGTGAAGTCTTCCTTCCCCCTAACTCCCGTCTCTGTATCCCATGGTCACCAATGCTCAGCAGTTTTCCCTCCGCAGTGATACGTGAGCATCACTAAAAAAATATGTGCTGAGACGCCCAGGACTCAGCTTGCAGCTGCGCTCAGAGCTAAGTTCTGTAACCATGGATGTCAGCCAGATCATAAGGGAGAAAGACGCAGGCAGAGACTGAGAAACCTGCTTGCTCGCTCCTTCCCTGGAGAGGGAGGTCACACAGAGCTCACTTTTACCTCAGCTGTAAACATGCAGCCACCTGTGAGTGACGCCTCTGCCCCGAAAAGCCCACAGGAGACTGAGCACCCGGAGTTTTCCCTGGGGACTGGTGACGTGGGCACCCTGGGCCCCGTGGGTTCCAAGATCCCAGCCTCTCAGAAGGAAAGCAGGTGGTCATGTGGCCGTGCCTACAGCCTGGGCGCCCGAGACACCCTGCCCAGCCAGGAGAGCTCTGTCGCAGCGCAGGGCCCAGCCCTCCAGCTCCCAGACACCAGCGAGGGCCAGCCCGGCCAGCGGGCTTCCCACGGACAGCAGCCCCAGGCCGGCTGCCCTCCCTTCTTTGTTCTCCTTGCCTTTTCCCTGTCCCCACCTTTAACTCACCCTTCAAACGCCCCCACTTCTCCTTCCTCCGCTCGGTTGTACCTCTGTTCTGAGAGCGTCAGTGGCTGTCAGAGTGAGTTCTTGTCTCCGCCACACCACAGACTGACTGTGTGACTGCGGGGACATCGCAGCCCTTGCTCAGCCCTCGGTGTCCCCGTCTCTGAGTGGCCAGGGATGCGGGTACCAGCAGAAGGCCCTGGGACTGAGGGAGGGGCGCCCTGTGCTCGGCCCACAGGTGTGCAGCAATGACAACAAGACCTTCGACTCTTCCTGCCACTTCTTTGCCACCAAGTGCACCCTGGAGGGCACCAAGAAGGGCCACAAACTCCACCTGGACTACATCGGGCCTTGCAAATGTGAGTCTGGCCTCTGGCCTCTCCAGCCCCTCGGCACAGGGGCAGGGCTCCAAACTGGCGCTGATGCTGGCTCTGTCATCCGCGGCTGTGTGATCTTGGGCCAAGCTCTTCCCCTCTCTGAGCCTCAGGGTTCCCTTTTATAAAATGGGGTGATTGTCTGTGAGTAGGTTCTTCTCATCTCTGAGCCGAGGACACAGGAAAGGATGAAGCAACCGTGAAAGCACGAGGTCGAGGAGGATTTCTGGAACTTCCCGCTAGCGTCGCTTTTCTAATGATGAAGAAGTTCTTTTTTTAATCTCAAAGTTCCCAGACTGTTCCTGCTTCAACACTGTAAATACTGTCCTACCTCGGTCTGCCAACTACTTTAACATATTTCAATTTGAACACTTTATTTTTATTTACTTATTTTTGGTACTGGGAATCGAAATCATGACCTTGAGCTTGCCAGGCAGGCGCTGTGCCGCTGAGCTATATTCCCGGCCTCTTGAATGCTTTAAAATAGGAGTGTGCGGTCTGCTTCTTTTGGGCTGTTTTGCACTGTTGCCGTCTCCTTGGCCCTTTTACTCCATCACTTCCTGTCCGCCTCCATAAGACATATGACAGCCACACTCGCCCAGGAACCTAGGGGCCGCTGTTGGGAGAAAGGACCCCAGGGCGTGGCGTGGCTCGGTGTCAGTGATCCCAGCTGCGGGCTCCGCTGGCCCAGGTACCTTGTCAGCATCCTCCCTGTCATTTACGACCCTTGAGACCCCACCTGCCCGTCTAAGACGACACCCACGTCGTATCTCGGGGAGATTTGGACAGCAAGGGGCACAGAGGAGAGCCACTCACCTGCCTCGGGCGCGCAGGCTACAGACGCGGGGGAGGGGGAGGAAACAAGGCTGGGTTCAGCCTTACCCTCCTCATTAGGGGGCGCAGTGTCCCTTCCCAGCACTGACCTCCACTAAGCACAATATGAGAGCGGACTTGGATGAGCCTTCCAGGTGTGACATTCTGGGATTCTAAATTCCAAGGGCCGGGTCGCAGTCCTCATCTCCAAGGACGTCCTGGCGGTTAACAATTCGTGATTCCTCTGTTTCCGGCTGGGCCTGAGGATGGGTGTTACTCTCCTGGCACTGGACCTCACCAAGGTCTCTGCAAGGACCACAACCACAGCTGTCACCCGGAAGGTGCAGGGCCGCTGGGGTGAACCATGTCCCCAGCACACTGGGCCTTGGAGGCAGCAGCCCTGGCCTCGCGCCTCCCCGCCTCCGCAGCACTCTTCTCCTGGTCCCTTTGCTCGTTGTCCTGGGCAGACTGTCTCAGAGTGCGCATGGGCGGCACTCTGCCAAGGGCACCGATGGGTGTGGCCAGGGGCAGGGACAGCCGGGGCCTGGGCTGATCACCGTTGTGTTCTGGACCCTAGACATCCCCCCCTGCCTGGACTCCGAGCTGACCGAATTCCCCCTGCGCATGCGGGACTGGCTGAAGAACGTCCTGGTGACCCTGTATGAAAGGGACGAGGACAACAACCTGCTGACCGAAAAGCAGAAGCTGAAAGTAAGAGGGTCCTTTCCAGGCAGGTGCAGGGCTGAGTGAGACCCAACCCCTCCCCACCTAGCTGGGCCCCCCCAGAAGCTAGCGCCCACCGTGCTCTTCCTCCGGAGCTCGTTCGTCCTGGCTGCCGGGACACGCTGCTCCTCACGTGCTCAGAGGCTCCAGGGTGCCGTAAATCTCACACCCTGCCCACTTCTACCGTGAGGAGACCTGCTCACATTGTGCAGCCCAGCGACAGACACAGGGGCACAACCAGCCCTCTTCCTTTCTGCTTCTGAGTCTGCGGATCTCGCACTGTAACGGGCGTACCAAACATCCCCCAGTGCTGACAAAACGCAGGTTCCTCGGCCTCGCTTTAGTCCTAGTGAAGCAGGGGCTCTGAAGCCAGGCCCGGGAAGCTGCGTTTCACACACTGCCCAGGCGATTTCCACGTGGGTAGCTCCGGCGGGCACCCTGGGCCTCCGCTCTGGGGAATAAATCATGGGTTCCTGGCCATGCCGCTCCCCCACTGTAAGCTTTGCCTGAGCTTTCCAGAGGTGGGAGGGGCCCGGCCAGCCAGGCCAGTCTCCCCTGAGCCCTCGGGCACCGGCGCCTCTGCCCCCCAGGTGAAGAAGATCCACGAGAACGAGAAGCGCTTGGAGGCCGGAGACCACACCGTGGAGCTGCTGGCCCGGGACTTCGAGAAGAATTACAACATGTACATCTTCCCTGTGCACTGGCAGTTCGGCCAGCTGGACCAGCACCCCATTGATGGGTAAGACCCCAGGCCCCCGGGCTGGGCCTGGGGCAGACAGTCAGTGGTCGGGGCTGGGAGGCTCCCGGATGCAGCCAGAAAGCCTCCTGGCAGCGGCTGCGCCCACGCTGAGCGCAGAGTGTGCCTGGGGCAGAAGGAGCAGGCGTCCCGGGGAAGGAAGCAGGCAGGGAGGAGGAGCACGGAGACCCTCTCGGCCAAAGGCGGAAGTCAGCGGAGCTGAAACTACCGCCTGAGGTCTGCAAGCACTGGGGCTTTTACACATTAGCTTTTACACATTACACATCAGCAAGGCCCAGACTCCAGGGGCTGCTGGGGCTTGGGTGGGGCAGCCTGCACTCTCAGGTCCTTCAGCAGAAAGTGTGTGCGCAGCGTGGCGTCCGGGCATCTAAGCCCCACCCTGAGGCTCCGTCCCAAGGAGCCAGCTAGCCCCGGTGTTCCTAAGGAGTTCGGAGTTGGTCCTGCCTGCGTTGCAAGGCCCTGGCTGAGGGCTCTTGCGCTGGTCTGATGATCAGGAGTGCTGGACAACGGCCTTGAGGGGTGGGCAGGCAGCGGGGTGGGGAACACACGCGTAGCGCTCTCGATGAGGTGCCCCGCAGCATTCTAGCCAGGGACCTTAACTGTACCGAGCTCACACGGTGCGTTCTGCTGGTGCTACCGTCCGGCCTGCTCTTGAGCCCCTGCTCAGCTCCACATGAAGCCGAGTGGGCTGCTGGGCTCCTCTGGGCCTGGGAAGCTCTCGGCCTCTCTTCTCCCAGGCCATGGCTGTGGCCGGGATCCAAGTGAGCCACTCACTCTGGCTGACAAGGGGGGTCACGGGGGAACATCTGGAACTCAGGCCGAGCAACTGGACCCCACAGGGCCACAGGGGCGTGCAGGGAGCTTCCAGAGGGGGCTGTGGGGACTTGCATCTGGAAATGTGCCCCAACCTCCTGCTTCCCTTGTCTCGGAGCTGGAGGTGGCCTTGCTTGTGTCCCTGCACCTTCCCGGGTCTCAGTTTCCCCACTAGTACAGTGGCGGGAGTGTTCCTTCCAGTTCAAACGTTGTGCAGCTCCTCCCACGAGCTGGGTGGGGTTGGGAGGTCTGGAATTTAGAAGGAAAGCTGGAGTCACAGTGTTCCCTAGAGTCCCTTGGGGGAAAAGTGTCACACATCTGCGCCAGAGAGGGGAAGTCCCAGGATCCAAGATCTGGACACCTTTCCTTCCACGCCATGAGGCGGACTCACTGGCCGTCTGCTCGTGTGTGTGTGTGTGTGTGTGTGTGTGTGTGTGTGTGTGTGTGTGTGTGTGTCTGCGTCCGCATGTATGCTCACTGCCGCCTGCCTCTTCCCCGCAGGTATCTGTCCCACACCGAGCTGGCTCCCCTGCGTGCCCCCCTCATCCCCATGGAGCACTGCACCACCCGCTTTTTTGAGACCTGTGACCTGGACAATGACAAGTACATCGCCCTGGAGGAGTGGGCCGGTTGCTTCGGCATCAAGGAGCGTGAGTGTCTGAGGGCAGCAGCCATGGGCGGTGGGCACTGTCCTGCTGTCTGTGTGCCTGTCCCCTTGTGGGCCCTGTCTGTCTCCAGTCTGCTCTCCCTGTCTGGTTGGGCCTTCTTCTCTTGGGCATCTTCTGGATACTTTCCTGTCCCTCTGAAGGACTCTTTCCTTTTCCGGCCTTAAGCAGTAGCCCTGGCCCTGGCCAGCACCGTGCGGGGAACCGGCAGGCCCAGGGAGAGGAAGCAGGAAGTGTGACTGGGCCGCACATCTTAGAGACGGGGCAAGCAGAGTCAGGGAGGCCACCTGGCTGGTCACTGGCGTCCTGCTCCTGCGGGCGGGAGGGACCCTGGTGACGCCTCGGGAAGCACGTTGGCGTGGACACAGCGCCCCATTTTCAATTCTGTCTCTTCTTGCTTTGCAGAGGATATTGACAAGGATCTTGTGATCTAAATCCTCCTCCCGTGCAACCGGATTCTCTCTCTTTGACCTGCCCCTTCCTGTTCCCCCCAAAGTTTAAAATGTTTGGATGGTTTGTTGTTCCGCCTGGGGATAAGGTGCTAACATAGATTTATATGAATACATTAACGGTGCTAAACATGGAAAGCGTAGCCCAAGTCATGACACTCTTACTCGTAACTCGACCCCGGAGGCCTTTGGCTCGCGCATTAACGGTCCTGTCACTTTTCTCTTGCCGTTCGTCACTCTGCCCGGCGTCTGCCTGGCTGTGGTGACGATTCACCCACTCTTGTCTGCCTCACACACTGCATCTTCAGACTTTTTCTGCTACTCTGCTTGAGGCTGGTATTCACCGAATCAGACTTCGAGTTCATTTTAGTTCACAGGGTTTGGGGTCTTCCCCGGGTGGCTGCAGGGGGACAAAGGGAAGTAACAGACACATGTTGGAAAGAGTGTTTTGGGGACTGGAGGACCAGTGGTGGGAGAGATCCCCGTGGAACCCGCCAGGCAGACCCGGAGAGAGCAAGACTGTTTGCCCGGTCTTGGCCGCCGAGAGAGAGAGATGCTGGGGCTTGTTCTGAAGACGCACAGACCCTCACGTATGCCCAGCTCCTGGCCATTTCCTCCCGCGCTCTTCTGAGCAATTTCTTTGCACATCAGGGTGTTTGTTCAAACTTTTGGGAGCCGTGGCCCATGGTCTCTGCGGGGTAGATGAACATGTCCTACAGGGTTTCCTCCTTTCTGACTTCTTTCAGAGATTTCAGCCTTCTTCTCAGGGGCTCCATGGGCCGGGAGGATGTTTCAGGCACAAAAGCCAAAATCCAGAGTGAGACGTAGGAAGTTGTAACAAAGAGAAAGTAGAGTTGGTGAACTGGTTGTATTTTTTTTTTTTTTCATATCTGGAAGGCTGTCATACGTGTTCTAGCATATTCCACCTTTTCTTCCCCTCCTTTCATCTCCTATTAATAAGAGAAACTTCAAAGTAATTGGGATGGTCAGATCTCACAGGCTGAGAACTTGTTCACCTCCAAGCATTCATGAAAAAGCTGCTTCTTATTAATCATGCAAGCTCTCTCCATGATGTGAAGAGTTTGACAAATCTTTCAAAATAAAAAGTAATGACTTAGAAACTGCCTTCTTGGGTGATTTTGCGTATGTCTTAGTTTTAGCCACTTTATTACCCCAGCACATACATACACACATGGGTGTATCTGACTGCAAAAATACAAGCAGTGCTCCGCCTTTATACATAGACCTGCACACACAGTGTAGCACGCAGAGTGTAAGCATCCTAATACCTGTCTGCTCTATATCAGGTTCCATGCCAGGCACTGGGGACACACTTGTGGCAAAACAAAGCCTTTTCATTTGGAGTGTATACTGCAGGGAATAAGATATTAAATAATGGTGCAATTAAATATAAATTGCAAGATGCCATAGGTGCAACAGAGAAAGAGGGTAAGAGATCATGAGTGTGTACAGGAGCATTCTATTATTATTATTTTTTTTTTTTTTTTGAGACAGAGTCTCGCTATGCAGTTCAGGCTGGTCTTGAGCTCACTTTGTAGCCCAGGCTGGTCTCGAACTCACAAAGATCCTCCTGCTTCCATTCTGGTATTATTATTCTAGCATTACTGTATTACTTACAGTATTGGTCAGTCATTGGAGGGAGTTTAATGTTAGGTGTACTGGATACACTGTATATTCGGTATGATCCTAGCATTATTCTAGCATCCCACAGTCCTCTGCGGCAGCCACCCTCTGTGTGTGACTGTTTGGATTTAAAGTTCAGCTTTTCAATCATACTGGCCACATCTCAAGTGCTTGATAGCTGAGCACGACTGGTGGGACAAGGCAGATCTAGAACATTTCTGTCATCACAGAATTGCTCTTCTAGCTCATTGGAAGTCTGCATCACTTTATTAAAAAGTTCTTATTAGTACTTGTGTGCAGTACATGGCTTCACTCATTATGGGGAATTGGTACATGTACATGACACATTTTAATTATTTTTTCATCTCCTCATCCCTTCTTCCCACTCCCTCCATCTCTTGGTCCCCTTCCAAAGCTTGTTTGTCACACTAGCATGACACTGCAGGGCCAAAAATAGGCTTAGGTGCAGGGAGCCACATAGCAGGGTAGTTACACGTTAAGCAGGGTAGTTAGATGTTAAGCTGAGAAGTTGTTTTCCCCCATCTTACACTTGCGATTACTAAAATAATACAATCACTAAGAATAAAAGAAGAGAGCAACAGCGGGCTTCCGGTGTTCTTTCGTACATAAAGGGAGGGAGAGGAGGCGGGATTGGCCAGTTAGGTCCTGAGGTGATCCCAGCGTGATCCCAGCCTTGTCGTCTCCATGGATCCTGAGAGAGAGAGAGTGATGGGGTGAGTGTCGGCGCTGTCAGGTTCACTTACTCCACCTTTCTGAGGCCCCTGCGGTGTTCGGCGTTACCAGCCCGTGGTCTCAGGAGGAAGACGGGTAGAGCCTTGCTTCCCCGGGGCCTGCATTCTGCCTTGGCAGACAGCACATGTACCATCTGTTCATTCTCTCAGCAGCACTTCAGATAGTAACGCTGTTACAGGGGTGATATCAGAACCTCCACATAGGAGATAGGGGAAATATTACAGCTCCCGACCTGTTAGGTGTCTGATACGCTGAGTTCACACTCTCTAAAAATCAAAATGAATTCTAGGAATGATGGAGGGTAAGAGTAGAAAGATACTTACTAAGAGGGAAAGATACAGCTCCTGACAGGCAGGACGGGGCCTGAATGTGTTGCCTGGGGATCCCACTCTATTTTATAGAGCAAAACCCCCGTGGGTACAGTGTGGGTTGTAGACATTATCAACCAATAAGATTACAGGTATAGCTGCTGAGGTAATAGTGATCCAATGGGGAAGGAAGCCATGTAACAAGGGTGCACGGAGAGAGCAAAGACTTTCGGGAAATGGTGGGTCCAGAGGTCTTGGTCACCCACTGGGGTGCCTGATGTCTATCTAGGCTTCATTAAGCCTGGCGTTTGTCTTTCGAGGGAGTACATAGGCCTGGTCGTCTCCTCTTTATCTTGAGGCCTGGTCTCCAACAGCTGTGTCTCCTGCCGCAGTTGCGATGTGTCTCACCTTTGTCCTGGCTCTCTTGAGGGCCCAGTCCTGTCAATATCTCTGCCTGGCCTAGCCATCTGTAACAACGTGACACAAAGCAGGGAGCGATCACGGGAAGGACACATCATGACCGGCGCCGCCGCAGGTAGGGTGGGAGGTGCGCACTTGGCCCTCCGGCTGAAGAATGGGGGATGCAGTCCTGAGTGCCGGTCAGCCTGGGGCAGTCCTGCCAGCCACATTGGCTCTGTCCCCTGCTTACTGAAGCGCAGTGAGGTTGGGTGACCGGGTGTTACAATGAGGCAGTGAGGAAAGGGTGCTGCCACCTAAAACTTTGACCCCCGTGTCTCCTGTCTGTGGCAGAGTTGACCAGGACTTCAGGACCCAGGATCCCTACAGGAGTGTTGTGTTTCCATATTCTTCATCTGTCCTTCCCTCCCTTTAACGCTAACCACTCACACACACACAGACACACACACACACCCTTAACAGTCAAAGAAATTGTATCATTGTCTTAACTGGAAGATCAGCTTCATTTACCATAAATAGACATATACCTTGAAGATGGGTACAATAGAAATATACCCACAACGAAAAGAACAACGCTATGCGGGCACGGGTGTGCCCCATGCTCTGTTTCTTGCTAAGGGAAACCATCTGGGAGACATTCCCCTTCATAATCAGATAGTCTGGAGGAGAGTTGAATTACAGTGTATTCAATATTAACTCAAGCCAAATGAGTCACTCTCCTGAAGTCACCTCCCGGGCCAGTAGAGGCCACCCCTCGTCCCTCGCTTCTGGTAAATCCTCTTCATCTAAAGCTCCTCTGGCCTCACTACCATCTGGGGAGGAGCAGTCGGCCGGTCTTTGAGGAAAGTGGAGGGGCCCAGGTCAAAGGACCTGGAACCCAGATGCCTCGCTCCCTCCCATTCCTGCCGCTGCAATGACTCGGCACGCTGAGCTCGTTTCTCTACCTGAAAATCCTGGTAACTACGGTCCCTGCCTAAGAGGCGGTTCGCCTATCGTCCACACCCACCTCTCCCACCTGGATGTGAAGGGCTCCCTCTTTCCCAGCTGGACCCTCCACTCCCGGCCCTCTCTCAGTCACGTTTACCCCTTGAAGGCTGTGTTTCCTTTGTGAAACAACACACAGTCTCAGCTCTTAGGCTGCTTGGGGCAGGCTGGTGTCTGCCTTGGTTTTGGCAGAGAACTTCAAGGGTTAAACACATCCAACTGGAAATGGGGGGAAAAGAGTACTCTAAGGAGGCACAGGGGCCTGGCCGGGGCAAGGTGGGGGATCTAGTGTACAGGCCAGCTGTCTGAGCCTGGGCCAAAGCCCTGCCCTCCCAGGGATCATTCGGTTCCCTCTGCTAAATGATGGGGATGAGCTGGGTGTGGTGGCACACACCTGTAATCCCAGCACTCAGGAGGTTGAGGCAGGAGGATCGTTGAAGTTCGAGGCCAGCCTGGGCTACACAGTGAGTTCAAGATCAGCCTGAACTGCATAGTGAGACCCTGTCTCAAAAAGACGAAAAAACAAAACTACATCCCTAAATGACGGGGAAAGGCAACTGGCTGAGATGGTGCTGTCCGCAGAGACTCTCAGATCTCCTTCGCTCCCTTCCTGAATAGCTGGGCTTCCAGCCTGGTTTCCAGATGGCCCCCCAGAGCCAGTGGGACCAGCCCAGGAAGCGCAGAGGAGGGTCAGGGCGCCCTCTGGTGGCTGGAGAGAAAGGCTCCCTGAGCTATCAGATCAACATCGTAGCCACCAAGCCATAGGTGCCCACGCAAATCATCAAATGCAGGCCCCTCATTTGCCAGATGGGGATACTGAGGTTCAGAGAAGCAGAAAATATTCCTTCTAGTAGGATTGTCAGATAAAACTTAAAGCTCCTGGTGAAGTTTGAATTTCAAAGAAGCAGCACAAAATTTAAAATACATCTGTCCTAGGCAATGTTTAGGACCTATTTCTACTAAAAAAAATTATGTGTTGTGCATCTGAACTTCACATTTAACAGAATGTTTTATCTCTTTCTTTGGATCTAGCAACATTACCCCAAGTTCACCACTGACTGAAGGTCAGAGCTCAGACTGCAACCCAGACCAGGGTCAGGCTTCCCCATCTGACGTGCCCAGTATCTTGCACTTATAGTTTTGCCCGGAACTCAGCAGCTCCATAGGAAATGCTGGTTACAGTCATTCTAGGGGAGAGAGAGTGGAAGGACATCTGAATCTGACCTTGATGGTCCGCAGGAATATTTCAGACAGGAGGGAGATGAGTTCTCCACCACCACCCCAGCACAACGCCTGCTCCCATGGAAAGCCCATGTGCAAGGTTTTAACAGTAGCACTTCCCTGCATCCTGCTGCAGCCTGATTTACTAGGTCAGGGAGGGGCCTGGGCATCTGCATTTCTACACATTCTCAGGTGATTCTGATGCACAGGAAGGACTGGAACCCCTGCTGGGAGTGGTGGTGCATGCCTGTAATCCCAGCCCTTGGGAGGCTGAGGCAGGAGGATGGTTGTGAGTTCGAGGCCAGCCTGGGCTACAAAGTGAGCTCAAGGCCGGCCAGGATGGCATAGCGAGACCCGGTCTCAAAAAAAGGCAAAAAAGAAAAGGGACCCCTGGGTTAGCTGTAAGGAAGAACAGAGAAAGCTGCCTGGATAGAAGAGCTTTCAACCAGCACCATCCGTAACTGTTAATCTTCACTCTGTGTAAGAATCATGGTGGGGGAGACATAATTTTTTGCAACATAGCTTGCTTATTATTGTGCTATACAAAAGTTTGAAACATGCAGCATGTTATATATTTTAACAATTCATAAATGAAGTTAAATGAAATAGCTGCATTTCATATCTTTGCTACTTTAGCAATGTCCTCCATCTGTTACGAGAAGCATCAGACCTCTTTGTTATGTATTTGCCAGGGGACGCGGCCACAAATGCAGACGCATGCCATGCCGAGTGACCCCCACACAAGTGGCACTGGCAGACGGATCTTAGAGGACGAACAACCCTTTGTAATGTTCCAGA